TCTTTTCTCATTCTTGAATTTGGACATCAGTCTCTTGGTTGTGTTACCTGGCTGTGCTTCCCGCTGGCACAGAAGCATTGCTGACACCCAGGGCCGAGCACCAAGGGGAGCCTTGTACCCACACCACACAACCCCGTGCTTGTTGGCTGACGGTGCCCTTGCTGCCCTGCAGCCCGCCAGGGTGCCCATGCCCTGAGGCTGCCTCCATCCTCCAAGCAGCCAGTGTCCTGGTCAGCAGCTCCTCTGGCGCTGCCTTGGCCAGGGCTGGGACCATTTATTGGTGGTGCCCAGACATTACTAGGCTCTGCCAGGTGCCCATGCAGAGAGAAGGGCCTGTGTCCCGGAGCCAGGTTGGCCTCCTGGCATTTGTCTAACTCTGAGGTCATGTCCCTTTGGGAGCCCCTGTGCCCTTCCTGGCCCCTCAGTGCCTGCCCTCCTCATCTCAGAAATGCAGGTGGAGCCAGCCAGGAAAGGAGAAGAGGGCGAGGAGGACGCCATGCCTTCTGGGGTCAAGGAAGAAGGGCCGCAGCTGGACAAGGGGGATGCCCCCGAGGAGAGTGAGGAGTCGGCCAGCACGGACTCGGGCCAGGAGCTGGGCGCAGAGGCCCGGGGCCTGCGCCCAAGCACCTATGGCGACCGTACCGAGTCCAAGGCCTATGGCTCCATCATCCACAAGTGCGAGGTGCGGCCACAGGTGGCACCACCCGCCCTGCCCAGCCCCATCCTCCGCCCAGCAGCCCCCTCACACCCGATTCCCGCGCCCTGCAGGACTGTGGGAAGGAGTTCACACACACGGGGAACTTCAAGCGGCACATCCGCATCCACACAGGCGAGAAGCCCTTCTCGTGCCGGGAGTGCAGCAAGGCCTTCTCTGATCCAGCCGCCTGCAAGGCCCATGAGAAGACGCACAGGTGCAGTGCCCGGCCTGCTGCTTGCCCCCGCTGGCTCAGCCCTGGTAGGACCCCAGCGACCCCTCCTCTCCCTTCTGACCACCAGCCCGCTGAAGCCTTACGGTTGCGAGGAGTGCGGCAAGAGCTACCGGCTCATCAGCCTGCTGAACCTGCACAAGAAGCGGCACTCCGGCGAGGCGCGCTACCGCTGCGAGGACTGTGGCAAGCTCTTCACCACGTCCGGCAACCTCAAGCGGCACCAGCTGGTGCACAGCGGCGAGAAGCCCTACCAGTGCGACTACTGCGGCCGCTCCTTCTCCGACCCCACCTCCAAGATGCGCCACCTGGAGACTCATGACACTGACAAGGAGCACAAGTGCCCTCATTGTGACAAGAAGTTCAACCAGGTGTGTGGGCACCGCCCGGGGCACCTCCACCCTGCACACTGACGGGCGGAGGGGGCCCCTAGGCTGAGGGGGCCCTCGAAGACACAGGCTTAGTGGGAAAAGTAGGTGCTGAGTAGAGCGTGACCCTCCCCAGGACAGAGCTCTGCCCGAGAAAGTGAGAAGGTGGGTGAAGTCAGGATGGGGTTCAGAACAGAAAGAAGTGGGGTGGGCATGGCTTCCCTCTCACTGCTAGGATCTGGAACATTCCATTGGCCTTAAGCAAAGATGGAGCCATCTACTGGCTCCTGGGAAGACCCAGAATCAGTTGTTCCCTGGCGGAGGGGCTGCGGATGGGGCCCAAGGCCACACTGTGTGGGGTGGCCTTTCTGACCCCTGCCTGGCACAGGTGGGGAACCTGAAGGCCCACCTGAAGATCCACATCGCGGACGGGCCCCTCAAGTGCCGAGAGTGTGGGAAGCAGTTCACCACCTCAGGTAGGGCCAGGCTGCCTGCTGCCCCACACCCTCCACTCCGCGGCCACCTCCTGATGCCCCACACCAGGCCCCCTGTCTGTCTCCACAGGGAACCTAAAGCGGCACCTTCGGATCCATAGCGGGGAGAAACCCTACGTGTGCAACCACTGCCAGCGGCAGTTCGCTGACCCCGGCGCTCTGCAGCGGCACGTCCGCATCCACACGGGTGGGTGAGCAAGCCCAGCGGTGGGAGCTTAGGAGCTGGGGAGGGCACACGGAAGGAGGAGAAGTTGGCGCTAACATCTCTTGCTGCCCGTCCCCAGGCGAGAAGCCATGCCAGTGCGTGATGTGCGGCAAAGCCTTCACCCAGGCCAGCTCCCTCATCGCCCACGTGCGCCAGCACACTGGGGAGAAGCCCTACGTCTGCGAGCGCTGCGGCAAGAGGTCCTGCCCCGCCCATGCCCAGGGTGCTCTGGGGTCCCCACACTTGGCAGGGTGAAGGGGTTCAGAAAACACACTAGGGCTCAGTTGCGAACCGGGCCGACTGCTGCCTGAGCCCAGTCCAGTTGGCCCGTCCAGTCTAGAAAGAGAGGCACGAGGCCAGCCCAGCTCCCCTGGCCCAGGCTTGGGCAGTTCAGGCCAGTCCCTCCCCTCTGTGGCCCTGCAGATTTGTCCAGTCCAGCCAGTTGGCCAATCACATTCGCCACCATGACAACATCCGCCCCCACAAGTGCAGCGTGTGCAGCAAGGCCTTTGTGAACGTGGGGGACCTATCCAAGCACATCATCATCCACACTGGTGAGTGTGTGCCCGCCTGCCAGTCCGGCCTGTCCCGTGCCCTGATCTTGCTAGGGGGAGGGAGGGAGGCATCCCCAGATTGCAGCGTGGGTACTGGCACTTGGAACAGGTGGCTTTGAAGGCAGTTCAATTCAAGTGAGGACCCCATTTTCTTAGAGCTTCCAGAAGGTGCAGGGGCCACTGGAGGCTCCTGTGCAGCTCTGGTGGCTGCCCCCGAGCACTTCCTGCTGGAAAACTCAGGGCTGCTGGGGAAGCTGGAGGCCACTGAGGTCCTCCCCCCTCCCCCAATGGCAGGAGAGAACCTTGCCTCCCCCCCCAGGAGAGAAGCCTTACCTCTGTGACAAGTGCGGTCGCGGCTTCAACCGCGTGGACAACCTTCGTTCCCATGTGAAGACCGTGCACCAGGGCAAGGCAGGCATCAAAATCCTGGAGCCAGAGGAGGGTGGTGAGGTCAGCGTAGTCACCGTGGATGACATGGTTACGCTGGCCACCGAGGCACTGGCGGCAACAGCCGTCACTCAGCTCACAGGTGCGGGCTGTGGGCAGCAGAGGGTGGTCACAAGCAGCTTGCCTCTGGGGTGGCAATGAAGGGGCAGGTGCCTCTGGCCTTAGGCCCTGCTGATTCTGCCCACAGTGGTACCAGTGGGGGCTGCAGTGACTGCTGACGAGACTGAAGTGCTTAAAGCCGAGATCAGCAAAGCTGTGAAGCAAGTACAGGAAGAAGGTGAGTGAGAAGGGCTGACCAGGGGTGAAAGCTGGTGGAGCTCAAGGGTCCTTCGCATCCTGACTGTGGCCCCACCTCCCACAGACCCCAACACTCATATCCTCTATGCCTGTGACTCCTGTGGGGACAAGTTCCTGGATGCCAACAGCCTGGCCCAGCATGTGCGGATCCACACAGCACAGGCACTGGTTATGTTCCAGACGGACGCGGACTTCTATCAGCAGTACGGGTCAGGCAGCACATGGCCAGCCGGGCAGGTGTTGCAGACTGGGGAACTGGTCTTCCGCCCTCGGGATGGGGCCGACAGCCAGCCTGCTCTGGCAGAGACACCCCACACAGCCCCAGAATGTCCGCCGCCTGCTGAGTGAGCAGGCATCCCTCCTCCTGACTGTTTATTTAAGGATGGGCGGCCCCGTTCCCTAGAGAGAATAAATTTGATTATTTTCTAATGCTGCCTACAGCTCCCTGTGGGGGTGGGGTGGGGAGCTGGCAGCTGTGGCGGATGCCCCAAAGGGCTGCTCTACCCAAGAACCAGTCGGCACAGACCGGCTTCTTGGGAAAGCCAGGCTGTCCCTTTTGCGGAATGGGACTGGAGCCCTGGGACCTGTTTAGACGCAAGCTGGCTGCTTTGCCCAAGTCAGGGTGCAAGGCTCCATGCACCCCATCCCCTCAACCAATCTTCTCTTTGGAAGCTTCTCACCTGGTCACCATGAGGATCCCAACTTTCTTCTCTGCCATGGAGCTGCTCCCCCTCTGCCTGGGGGTTGGGAGCTGGGCCAGCAGAGGCTGGCCACACTACCAGGATCCAGGCAACCCAGAGAGCCCAGCTCAGGGGCCATTCAGCCAGAGCAACAAGGTAGGCAGAGAGAACCAGGCCCAACAGGCCATATCACCGTTTCATTGGGTTTGGGGAAGCAGAAGGGCTCTACACTGACTTCACAGTAACCTTGGCCTGAGGATCATGGCCAAGCCAGTACCATCTTTTGGGAACATTTACTTGCCTTGAATCAATAGTCTCTCCCACCAGGTGAGGGCCTGGAGGGACAATGAGCAGCCAGGAGCTTTGATGGGGAGATGAGAGACACAGCACTGCTTAAACTAAGAGTAGAAGCAAAGGCTGCGGGGGGCGGCAGGGAAACGTGAGATGCCATCTCTGCCCTTTCCATACAATTTCCCCCCAGCAGCCGTCATCCCTTACTCAGAGATAGTAGCTTCTTGCACCAAAAGTATAGGTCTTTGGAGGAGCCCCATGGATAGTGCAAGTGAGACACCAACACTGCGTGTTCCAGTCCCTGCCCAATTCCTCAGCTTGTAGGGGAAGCCTGGCCCACCACCCCATCTTCCTGTCAGGAATACTGTTCCGCCTGGCTGTGCCACACCCAGGGGAGGAAGGGTGAAGAGTCAAGACACCAAAGCTTGCTCAAGTTGTTTGAGTGTGTGTGGTGGTGGTTTTACCTGTAGTGCCTTCCACATTATCCAGAACCAATCAGAGCCTTGAAGTATCACAGGTCTTTACAGCACCACAGCACTGAGAAAAGTTCGGTCTGTGACAAAGATCTGTTTTATACTAGATAAAATGATCCTTGGGGGGTTAAAGTGGTAGATTGGAAATAGGTTCCCTATACAGACTGAAAGAAGGCAAAAGTGGGATGAGGGCTAGCTACTCCCATAAGCCAAGGACATTTAGTTGGTCCTCCCACCCTAGTGACAATTACATCCACACTTGACATGTTTTGTATTTTTTAATAAAGTTTGTAATCCAATGGACACACAAAACAAAACTGCGCTGAGAAAAACAGTTTCATAAATTAATAGGTGTTAGGAAGTTGTGGGGAGAGGTCAAGGTCACATAAGAAGAGGGAAGCCAGTCTTTTTGCAGTGTGTGTGTGTGTGTGTGTGTGTGTGTGTGTGTGTGTGTATGTATGTGTGTGGGAGAGAGAGAGACACACACACACACTTTCAGATCGCAGGGGCAGGGCCCGGCTGTAACGAAGCGCACTTATACAAATGAGTGACAATACAAAGTCTGAGTATGAAAATAAGATTTTTCTCTTAAAACACATTTTTGGCACAGATTAAAAAAAATGTATGTCAGGGGGATTTGATTTTTTTAAGTCAGTATTATATATATTTATATATATTATATATTTATATATACACACATCCCAAGTTCTGCATATCCCACCGACAGAAAATCCTTCGGTTTGCTCTGTTTCGATTGTAAGCTGTACATCCTGGGTGAATCAGATGGTGGTGGCAAGAGAATTAAGGAAGATGACAGCCAGATGAGCAAGGAGAAGGGAGGAGATGGGGACAAACCCAATGAAATGTTCCTTGACCCCAAGGTTTCAGCAGCAGCTTGAAGTCCTGCGTTGAGTCTGTGACGTGTTCACATACACCAAGATGTCCAGAGTGCCACAGCCTGTCTTCACTATGCAAAAGTCCAAGTCACTAATTTAGTGCAAAGGCAGTTCTGTTTTCTTGTTTCTTAAAAACAAAAACAAAAAAATTTAATTCCACTGCCCTGTTCCTTTTCTCCAAAAAGAGGAGAAACCCAGCCCCAAGGTGTCTGCAAGTCCATCGGTTGGTGGTCTGTCCTTGGGCTAAATGTCTTGTAAACATACATAGTAGCAGCACCACTGCCCAGAGGGGTCTGTCCGCCTGAGCTGGGCCGGCAGGCCAGGAGGGCAAGGCTGGCCGTCTGGCAGTGGAGTCTGTCCCCTTCGGCAGCTTCTTCCTCCACTTGGCTGGGTTGTCCTGTGTGTGTGTTTGCTGCAGAGCCTCGGGAAAATACACTGAGTCGTTGACCGACCAGTGGCTCACACAGAGGCAATGACAATCATGAGGTGGGGAGAAATGTTGGAAATGCTGGCCAGAAGGTCAGGGGCCAGACGGGACAGGTGACTCTCCGAGAACTCGCAGGGTGGGAAGATCTGCAGCACGTAGGCAGGCTGGAGAAGAGGACAAGAGCGTAAGTGGGACCCCCTCTTCACATCACCAACCCCATTGCCATTCCTCTGGACAGGCCCAACGCAGAGAGCCAGGTTGAGTCAGTTCCCTAACCAGCTAAGTCTCTGTGGCTTTGTCAGAAAACTAACGTGAACTAATTTCCTGCGACCCACTTCTATATCATTAGGCTAAAGACAAACCTGCTGTATCAGCTGTCCCTTGATTGTCTCCAGGATGGGCAATGGTGGCCCCACCCAGACACTGCTTATTACCTCGACCCAGAATGCCCTTTGCCCACCTCTAAGAAACTCCTGAACTGCTCTGGCTGCACTAGTGGGCCATGCCACCAGATCAGTCAAATTGCATGACCACCCCCACTGTGTGCACCGAGGAAGGACACTGTGCAGGGAGCTGACCTGATTGGAGCCAGGGTTAGGAACATTGATGATCCCCGCCGCCTGCTTGGCCTGTAGATAGGTGATGAAGGCAGCCTTCAGGGATTCGGTCTGGCTTACGACATCCTCTTGGTCACGGCCACAGGGCAGAGCCAGCAGCAGACAATACTCTGACTCCACCTGGGACAGAGGCAACTGTCAGGGGCCTCCTCACAACACACAGAGGCCTGTCCAACCCAGGGGGTTTGGCTCCTATGTCCACAAAAGCTCCCACCTCTGAAATGACTTGAAAGTCCACCCCTAAATTTGTTGAATGAAAAAAAAGCCTTGCTTTATGTCTAGAGGCATTTTACACTCTGAGGAGAAAGAACATGCCCAGCGCCATCTGCACTAAGAATGCCGTTGCTGCAGCCCATAACAAGGAGATAGGCAGCGGGGGGCCACCCACACCTTATATCCCTGGGTGGGGCAGCTGCTTACCTGGGCCCCATCTTACCGTCATCCTTCGGGTAACCCCTTCCAGCTGTGAGGCCTCCAGCCGCATCCTCTGGGCAATCCTCAGTGGAGGGCCTCCTTCAGAGAGGGGTAGAGACCGATGGGCCAGGACATTGTTGCCAGAGACAAAGTGGAGCTGCACAGCAGCTGTGTCATTCTTGAGGGCCAGGAGGCCCTGCCACACAATGGGGTACTTCTGTTCAAGGGAAAACAAACAGGAAGTGAGCTCATGACTGGACATGGCCCTAGGCAGCAGGCTTACTGTGCTAAGTCAAGTGGGGATCTTAGGACATTTTAACACAGCACCAAGCTTGGAGAGGAGCAGTGGGGGGACCCCTCCCAGACTTACCTTCAGAAGCTGGACCATATCCACAGGCCTCTGGGAAGTCAAGTGTGGAGAGGAGTCTTGTTTGGGGGAGGGCTGGGCTTCAGTGTACAGCAGAGCCAATCCTGGAGGGGTGCTAGGGCCCGAGGTTGTGGAGACAAACAATGGCTGCTTTGGGGCAGCCTGGGCAGGGAGAGGGCCCGGAAGGTCAGGCTTCATGGAGACAGATACAGGGGAGGGATAGGAGATCTGGCTTGTTTCTGTCTGGGTCCTCTGAACCTGGACATGAGGCTCAGCTGGTCTGTTCGCAGGTACGGTTGGGAGGCGAGGCTGTTCTACTCCTGTCTGGGTCCCTTTCGCCTCCTGGGAGACCTGAGGCATCTTGCTGCTTGGTGGCTGGCTAAGCTGTGAGGGCTGCGTGGGCTGGACAGGCTGTGTGGATGGCACAGGCTGCTGGGCAGGCTGTGTAGACGGCACAGGTTGAGTGGGCTGCAAAGGCTCACTTTCAGGAGGGGGACCCTAGAGTTGGGCAGGAAGAGATAGGGACAAGGTGACAGTCTGTTATGAACAACACCCAGCCCCCAACCTACTGGCCTTTGGCCCCAGCAAGAGTCAACTATGAGCATCTCCTCTCAGCTAGGCTCGCGGGGGGGGGGGGGACACGACACTTTAACCAGTTGGTGATGCATTCTGGGGCTCAAGATTGAGGGTTCTGGTAAGAGGAGGTCAAGTGTTCCCTCCCTCCCCACAAAGAGTTCCTTCCCGTGTCCTTAAGCTCTCTGTGCTATGATCTGATCCCTGAAATTTAGCAAGTTTCTCTTTAAACCCACAAGAAGAATGACACACTTTAGGAACCACACTAGCACTTGAATCACTGTTTGCACTAGAAGGCTGATTTGTAGTGCTCACCTGAGTGGGAACCTTGGTCCGGGAAGGCAGGCCGATGGAGGCGGTGGCAGGAAACTGAGTGTGAGTGAGCTGAGCCGGGCCATGGTAGGTGCGGATATCCCCGCATCTGTACTCCTGAAACAGCTCCCCACCACTGGAGTGTACGATCTGCACCCCATGGGTCACCACCACAGGTGGGCTCAGAGGCAGCCCTTGGAGCTGGTTGCTGGGGGTGACTGTAAGGATTCGGGCCTCGCTGTGAGGGGCAGGGGCTGCTTTGGCATCTGTCATCTTGGCAGCTTCTTTCCCTGGCTGCTGAGGGGGCTTGCTGGCTGGTGGCACCTTCACTATACCATCTGCTGCCCGGGGCTGCTCACTGACTGCCGTCACATGAGGGTGCACCATGATCCTCACGTCCCGGGGCACAGTGTATGGGTGCAGTCGGTACTCCGACTGCATGACCAGTACTTCCGACTGCACAGGGGCTGCGGCTCGAGCAACAGGGAGGTGATAATGCACTTCTTCCTCTGGAGCGTGTTGGGAGGCCAGGGAGGACACACCAGCTGTGGCTGGCTGGGGCGTGCCTGCCCGCTGTGGGGCCCTGACCTCTATTTGCTGGGGTTGCAGAGGGGCCCGAGGTGAGTGAAGTGCCTCTGGCCGGATGCTGTAGGTGATGCTAGGCAGTGTGGGCGTGTTCATTCTCACTTCACCCTGGGACAGATGACTAAGGGAGACAGTCTGGGTGATGCTGTGGGGTGGCATGATGACAGACTGCTCTGGGTGTATGCTGGAGATGAACTGAGGCACAGGAATGCCTGCAGCCAGCATGACTGTGGCATTAGTGGAGAGCGCAGTGGACGTGGTCCTGCTGGGGTGGCATGCCCTTGGGAAAAGAGATGGAGCAGGCCCACTGGGTCGAGGAGAATGTGCGTCTGGCTTTGTGGCGGCCAGATGGGAGACAGTTCGATCTGTTGGGGTGCTGGGCCCTGAGGTGATGTGGTTTGCTTCTGCAGGCAGTTTGCTGGGCAGAGCAGGAGGGTGGTGGGGAGTGAGAGCAGACCCCAGGTTAGCCGGCTGAAGGACCTTAGTCTCTATTTTGAGAGTGACAGGGTCAGCAAGCTTTTTATTAGTGGTAACTATGCTTGGGGTGAGAACCAACTGGTTGTGAACCAGCACTGGGGATGTGTTTATGCCCTGGGTGAGAACCTTCACTGTGCCACCCTGGGTGACAGGGGTAGACACAGAGAGGTGAAGGGGCTCAGGCTTCTCCAAGGAAGGACGGTCGGCTTTAACAGATGAAATTACCGGAGATGCATTATATGTCTGGGCAGTTAGCACTAGAGTAGAGTGGGTAGCCACATTTGCATAGCCTGAAGGAGTCTGAGGGCCTTTGGGTGGTGGCTGTGATGGTGCAACAGAATCAGGTTTGACCTGGGACTTGGATACCGACTGTTGAAATTCAATGTCCATGGCACTCGCTGGGGGGATCTGGCTAATCTTGGCGCTGATCCGCTGTGGGCCTTCAGTCTTCTGCCCCGAATAGCTCAGGAGCACAACTCCTTCAGAAGTGTTCACACGCAGCCCAGCTCCAGAGCCTGAGTCTGCTGGACGCTCGTCAATCACAGACATAGACCCTGGGTGGAACCGAATGTTTTCGTTAGTGCTTGATCTCTGCTTGCACTTTGCTGGTGGTGCAATCACGGCACCTGCTACAGTCAATGCACCTGTTGTGGTGGCAGTCACAACACCAGACGCAGCAGTCACTGCACCTGCTGTGACTGTCACTGTACCCGCTGAAGCACTCACTGCAGCCGCTGTAGTGCTCACTGCAGCCGAAGCGGCATTCACCACACCTGTGGCAGTGTTCACTGTGCCCACAGTAGCATTCACCGGAGTGGTGAGAACGTTCACTGGCCCTGTCAGAACATTTACTGGCCCCTTTAGGACATTGACGGGGCCAGCAGAAGTGTTCACCAAACCTTTCAGTGTCGTCACTGAGCCCTTCACAGGGCCTTTCAGGGCATTCACTGGGCCAGTCAGTGCATTCACTGGGACCAAGGAGACATTTACCAGGCCAGTCAGGGCGCTCACCAGACCAGTCAGGGTTTGAGGAGCTGGTTTTGCCAGAGTTATCTTTTGTGAATTCTCCAAATCAATGCTGACAGGCATCCGGCTAATAACAGAAGTAATTTTGGGAGCAATGACTGGAGCCACCTTTTCTTTGTCAGTGGCTACTGCAACCTCTGAGGCCTGGATGTCAGAAGCACTAGTTACTGGAGCTCCTGGTTTTTCTTCTAAAAGAGGCTGTTTAGGTTCAGCTGGAGGGGTTGGTGCCTCATGCAGACAAGGGGCAGCACTGACAGGCTCTGCAATGGCAGCAGTGACACTCGTGGAAGTGATGCCTGTGGCAGATACATATTTGGGGTCCATGAGAATCTTTCTCAGTGTACTGGAGCTGGTGTCAATGTCAGAGGCTTTTGTGTCTGGGGGAAGAGCTGGAGATGGGGTGGACTGAGCCCGAGGTTCCTCCTGTCTTGTGATCCACTCTGTCACCTTAGTAGGGGGACTCTGGTGTGGGATCCCCCCAGAGGTCAGTGGGGGTGGGAGCTTTGCTGCAGTTGCAGAAGGAATTGTGGGGGTAGGTATGCTTGAATCACTGGGTGGGGTCACTGGATCACTTTCAATGATGGAATGCACCTTGAATCTGGCTTGGGGCTCATTGTCCACCAATACTGGCTGGGAGGGAGGGAGAGGGTCTGGGAGCACAGTCCTTTTGGTTGGAGTCTTTTCTTCAACACTGCTTTCTTGGGACAAATTTTCCCTGGATGGAGTCTCGCTTGGGTCAGAAGCACATGTCTCTGGAGGAGTGACCTGGGGCTTTTCACTCTGCTTTTCTTCCGACTGTGGAGCTTCTGGGGTTTGTACCATTGTCCCCTCATTTGTGGCAGGATGATTGCTTTGAACTTGGTTGGGTTGTGAGACACGGGTCTCTGCAGTAGCCCCCGTTTTCTTGTTTGTATTCCGTTTGCGGCGTGATCTAGTTGTTTTATGGCGCCCTTTGTCTTTCCGAGGGAGAGCCACTTCAGCTTCTTTTGATCCCTTAGTTTCCAGCACTGGGTGGGGGGTTTCGCTGCTATTCCCTCCAACTTCCTTGGTATCTGCTGGGCCTGCGGAAGGGTTAGGGGCACTGACTTGTGGGCCAGAAGATTCTGTAGTAGCCTCAGTCTCCCAGATGCCAGACCCAGCCTCATTGGTCTCAGGCTCCATTCCCTCCTCAGGAGTCTGCAGCTCTTGTGAGTGGGGCTGCAGGTCTGTCTGAGATTCTGCAGGGTAAGGTGGAGGTGCTGGGAAGTTTTCTGGCTCCCCAGAAATATCATTGATGATGGAGCCAATGGCCGCAGCCAGTTCCGTTTCACTCGCTTGGTGTGCAGGCTTGTCCCTGTCCTCTGTGGAAAGGCCCTCTGGGGCATCTGTGGCTGCTGCCTTGAAAGCCGCGGAGGCAGAGGTTTCAGTGAGCTTTTCGATGTTCTCCACGGCCTGCTCCAGCTCCATCTGCTTGGCTAACTGATTTGCTTCTGGGGACAGCTTAGGGGCAGACAGATCTTCCTTCTCTGGCTCCTTGTCTGGGCCAGCTGGATCACAGTTCACCTGGGATGAAAGACCCTCCTTGGGTGGACTTCCACTCTTTTCAGGGGAGACTGCCACAACCCCAGCTTCTTTCTCCACAGCCAGCCCTGCAGGGCCCAGAGCCACAGTGGGACTTACACTGGCCTCTACGGTTTTCAGATTTGCAGATTTGTCCACTGCTGACCTAGAGTTTCTAGATCTTCCTCTCTTTGATTTGGAATTTTTTTCAGGGGCTGTTTTTTTCTCTACCACTTCAACTGGGGGGGTTTCAAGTGGAGTTTTGTCTGTGCCAATTTCTTTTTTGTCTCTTTTCGATTCACTTCCTGCTGCTTCTTTATCAGTCTTAGATTTTATATTATTTTCTTTCACATTTACTTGGGGACTCACCTCAGTGGTGGTCTCAGTATGTTCAACATCAACTTTAGGTTCATTTTTCCCCCTTTTCCCATGTGGGCCACCAGCAGCTACTGATTTTTGGGACCGTGGGGATCTCCATCCCTCAGCTGGTTTAAGTGTTTCAACTGGCTCTTTCACCTCAGTCTCCTCTTCTTCTTCAGCTCGACGGCGTGTTTTTGGAGGCCTTCCCCTCCGAGGGGTAGTAGGAACTGCCGCGGCCTCCTGAAGCTCCCGCTCCAATCTCTTCCTGGTCACTCTGGGTTGCTCGATGGGCTCCTTAACTGGAGAGCGGCTTTCGTGGTCACCCATGGTTGCATAGACACTCCTTACATTCCGGCGCCTGGTTCGGCTGAGGGGCAAACTTGGCTCAGGGTGTTCAGTGTCCGTGGCTGAGTTTTTAGAGGCAGCCCTTGTAATCTTCTCGGCCTCCATCTTCAACTCTAAGAGCTTCTGGGCTTCTCCCCGAGGAGAATTGGACCTCTTGAGTTTTTCTCGGTCTATCCTCTCACTCTTCCTTGTGACGGGCTTCTCCACAATACTTGCTACAGCTGCCTGCATGGGGGTCTTGGAACGTTTACTTTTGTTTGGCTTTTTATCTTTTGTAGCAACTGGAGGATCAACCTCTACACCTTCGGAAGCTTGAGGCTGAACCTCAGCAACAACTTCGGCTTTCTGATTTGCAATGGGCTCAACACTAGCAGTAGGGTCTGGCTTGTCTACTTTTGGCTCATCAGCCTCCTTAGGCTTCTGAGTCTGTTTTGAAAGTGGTTGGGTATTGTCAGGTTCTGGGTCCCCACTGATCTCTGCATGGGAAAATGAGGCCCCAGGAGTTGGAGGCTTGGCATCCAGATAAGGCAGCTGGTCAACTGATGAACTTTCTCCAACTAAAGGAGTTCCGGCAGCATCCTTCTCGGCGTCCACTCCTGGGGGCAAGTCTGCCTGTTCAGGTTGTTCCACAGCAAGGGGAGCCAGTTCAGATGCAGGTTTTGCTTCTTCTGAGACAGAGGCTGGCTCCATGGTCTTCTCTTCTGTCACCGAAAGCAGCTCTCCTGTTTTATCACCGGCTGTCTTCTCCAGTGGCAATGATGCCGACTCTGGAGTTAAAACAGTGACACAAGGAGGCCCAGTCGAAGATGGGGTTTTCAGTTCTGACTCTTTATTCTCAGAAGCAGATTCTGGGGTCTTGGGATGATCTTCTGTATCTTCCTGTTTCTCAGCCTCTTTAGGTTTTTGGTCTTTTTCTTTTTCTTTCTGTTGCATTCGTGTGAGTTCCATAAATCTGCTATGGAAAAGAACTACTGGCTCTTGAATCAAATCAGTTGTGCTGTTCACTCCATCAGATGTCTGCCTCCCATATAACCTACCAGAAATGAAGTCAGATTCCTCATCTTTTCTCTCTAGGTGCTGTAAGCGCTTGGAATCTTGTTCAAAGATCGAGCTATGTAAAAAACGAGAAGCAAATAATTCTTGCCTTTCCTGTTCTTCTTCTTTATGATCATCTTTTTTATCATCAATTTTTCCTTCTGAATCAGTCCGAATTTTCTTCTTTTTCATGTACCAAGATGGAATAGGTCTTGGAGCAGAGTCAACTTTTTCTTTATCTTTGTTGTTTCGAAAATTAGCAAATCGAGAGTCCCAATCAAGAAAAGACCAATTTTCTTCTCGAGATGAAGAGAGGGATTTAGCTCTTTCAAGCAAAGCCTTAGTGTCTGGGGTGATTGTCTTATCCAATGCAAAAGAATAAAATTTGTTCCTTTCTAAAGAACTAGAGAATCTTTCATCTCGCTCACGTAGTTTGTCTTCTCTATCCCTCAATAAAAAAGATAATCGAGAACTTTCATATAATGCTGACGCTCTGGGTGAGTGGGATTTGTGTTCAACATCTTCATCAGAATCAGAAGGCACCTCACCAGGTTCTAAGTCGCGTACAGACCTCTTTCGAAGGCTGTCCCTCTTAATTATGCTGTTTGGGAAACTCACATCAAATCTGCTGGCATCTTGCTTCATTTGCGAGTCCCACTGATTTAGTTCATCTTCAGAATTCAAGACAGTTAGTTTTATTTTGGCCATGTCTGCCATCTGTTCTCTCTTGCTGGAATCGTAAGGATTAAATTTTAAGGATTCTTCTCTGACTGTCATATTAGAATAAGGGAGTCCCTTTTCATCTACTTTAGGAGACCCTTTTACTGACATTAGCCTAGGAGAGCCTATGGGGTCATCTTCCTCATGGAAGGAACCATGTCGGATACTGGGAGAACAACCAGTCCTTTCAGAATCTTCGCTGATTTGGCGTGAACTTCTGTAATTCCTCTCTCTCTTGGTGCAGATATCAAAATCAACATGATCCATCCTTTTCTTTTTGCTGGGCGGCGAATCATCAGTGACATCTTGAGGGGGTTTACCTACCTCATGAACAAGACTACGCCTTTCATAGTCATCTACATCTTTTTTAGGACTGCCGAACTTCTCAGACTTGGCTATTTCCATCTCCATCTGCTGTTTTCTACGACTCTGCTCCATTTGTTTTCGGTAACTCTGCGTGTAATCAATATCAATGCCAATTTTTTCTTCAGTATTTACTGAATGTGGTTTCTCTTGGCCTGATTTACATTCAAGTGCTTCATCACGAAGACTGCAATAGTTTTTCCTAATATCTTCTCTCTCTGGTCCTTGCTCATCTAATAACTGCAGCTGTTTGAGCTGTGGTTTGGAGGGAGTAGATTTTTTTGACTGGATTTCTTGATTTTCCACAGATTCACCTACTGGTTCTCCAAGCCTTGCTTGCAGGTCTGAGATGGGTCTTGAGCCAGTCCCAACAGAAACACTGACAAGTTCCTGACAGTCTTTGGGGCTGGGAACAGCATTAAGTCTGTCTAGTTTGATTTTTTTAGAGTCTCTTTTAAGAATTTCTTTCCTCGTGGGCTTTCTCTCAGACTCTCCTTCCTTCAACAGAATGACATCTTTGGACGGCGTGTCAAGCTGCTTTTTTAAAAGCACCCGAGCATCCTCCATCTCTGGACTACTTTTCTTGACTTCTGATTTTTGCCTTTCTGCTTTCAAATTGGAATCTGCAAAACGCCTTTTCCTTGCTTCCAGCTTCTCCAAATCCACAGCACTTACCCCATCAGCAGACTGCTCTGGTTTTAGGTGCTTCCGGGTTTTAAGTCTGCCTTCCTTATCTACCACTTCTATGTGGCTTGAAAGTGCCTTTTCCTTTGGCACTTTCATTCTGACAGATTCCAGTTTAGATAAGTCAGATTTTGCAGGCTCCATGTGAGAAACTTGCAGTTTCTGATCTATGGCAGAAGACTTAACAGTGTCATTATCAAGCTTGGCTTTCAGCTTTTCCAATGGAGTGTGGTCAATCACCTTCCCCTCTTTTTCTTTCACTCGAGTCAAAACCACACAAGGCATGAGTTCTAAGCGGTTTTTTGCTATTCCTTCTTTGTCAGCTTTCTCTCTGCTCAGTTTATTAAAACTCCTTGATTTTTCAGGGCTCTGTTCTCTTTCATTTTCTTGGTCTGTTTCTGAAGATTGGGAACTAGGAGAATGAACTTTTCCTTTTCGTTTCTGCTTGTCAGTTTTGTCCTTTTCCACTTTCTCCTTCCTTATTAAGCGTCTCTCTCTTTCCACTCTCTCAGGATCAAAAGTTCGTTCTTTATCTGTCTTTTCATTTTTTGTATAACGTTCCAAACGAGGTTTGTCAAGTTTATCATATCTTGGAGGGGAAAGTGAGCTACAGCTTCCACTCCGGTCTGAGGACCGGCTATAAACCCTCCTCTCAGAATCACTTGGTAATCTCTCTGACTGTGAGGGAGATGTTCCAGGACTCTGTGGGCGCCGCAGGTGCACCGGACTCTGACTGCGTTCAATTGGCCTCCTCTCATGGTCTCTGTCCCGGTCAGGATCAAATCTTTCGCGTTCTCTTTCTCGTTCCCGTTGCCTGTAACTGTAATCCCGAATATCTTGTTCATAAGGATCACTTCTGTAATCCCTGTATTCCCGAGGATCATCATAATAGCGAGATTCATAATAGTCTCCTTGGTAAGTTTCCCATTCTGAATAAAATTCTCTCCCTCGAGCTGGATAGTCCCGTCTAGAATCCTCAGCATATGTGCCTGGAGTACGAACAGTCTCATAATATGTGCGATCTTGGCTATAATCATAAGATCCCCTTCGTTCCTCTCTGCCAAAAACAAACAAAAAAATATTTCATTCTTTTGTTTCCTTGTCATTTATACATTAAATCATACATATAAGATTACAAAGTCCTGCTTCTAATAATCTTTGCCATTAGTCATTAGACCTGTAATGTCCAATACTGTTGGCACTAGCCACGTCTGACTACTGAGAACTTGGAATTTGGCTAGCCTGAATTGACATGGGAGTGTAAAATACACACCGACATTGATAGATTTAGTTTTAAAAAAAAAAGAAAAAAGGAAAGATACTTCAGTAATTTTTTAACTTGATTATATGTTGAAATGATAATATATTTTAGATATACTGAGTTAAATAAAATTGCACTTTTTCTTTTTACTTTTTTATGTGGTTATTAGAAAATTTAAAACCATAGATGTAGCTTACATTATATTTCTATTGAATAGCAGTTCAACCCATTTTATTCCTTTAGTATTTGGTACTGTGGGTTTTATATATATATATATATATATATATATATATATATATATATTTTATTGATTTTTTACAGAGAGGAAAGGAGAGGGATAGAGAGTTAGAAACATCGATGAGAGAGAAACATCAATCAGCTGCCTCCTGCACACTCCCTTACTGGGGATGTGCCTGCAACCAAGGGACATGCCCTTGACTGGAATCGAACCTGGGACCCTTGAGTGCGCAGGCCGACGCTCTATCCACTGAGCCAAACCAGTTAGGGCGGTATTGTGGTTTTTAATAAGCACCAGCATTAAGGGGTGTCACGTCCCCACATTTCTAAGTCTTTTATAATTACTTTTCTGCCAAAAGATATTCTTACTACAACTTGAGAAACAAATATACTATGTTCCTGACATAGTATTTGAGGGAATAAGTGAAATACTACTTTTAAACTGCAAGCCCTTATGCAAATGGGACATCATTTGCATTCCTGAGCTAAACTATCATTAGAGGTAAAGCATTTTTTTCATTCCATGAATCAACTATTCAGTGAGATGACTACCTTCAACTCTATGGCAAAAGCAAAGACCACTAAGTTCTACTCAAGCATCCTGGACTTGACTACTTTTCTTGACTACTTTTCTTGACTTCTAATTTTCCATAAGCACTGCCATCTGAAACCAAATGAGGCAAAACTAGTTCACAGTGAAGTCCCACACCCTCCCACTTCCTACTTTGGTAGATACTATAAACTCCATTCAACAGGGATTAAATAACCATGGGTAAGAATCAAAGAAAAAAGCTGGAATCAGATAATCAGTAAAATAAGTGAATTTAAGTAGTAATATATAAAAATTAACATCCAGTCCTAGCTGGTTTGGCTCAGTGGATAGAGCGTCAACTGGTGGACTGAAGAGACTCAGGTTTGACTCGGGTCAAGGGCACATGCCCACTGGGGGGCATGCAGGAGGCAGCCTATCAGTGGTTTTCTCTCGTCATTGATGTTTCCATCTCTCTCTCCCCTCTCCCTTCCTCTTTATAATCAATAAAAATATATTTAAAAAATAAAAATTAACATCCACACAATATTATCCAACCTCACAAGATACTGTTCTTTGAAAACTATTTAATGTACATACAGAGGATCTTAATGGATTTTTTTATGTGTTAGGTACCAGTAGACCACCAACACTTTCCACTCAGTTATGGGTAAGAATTCCTGTTAGCACTTAAAAGTATCCTATCTAATAAAGAGGTAATATGCTAATTGGCCCTCACACTGTCGCAAAGATGGCGGTGCCCACAGCCAATAAGGAGGGACTATGCTAATTGACTGCCATGTCCTCAAAGATGGCGGCGCCCACAGCCACAAGATGGCGGCGCCCAGTCCTCTCAGCCCCACTGGGGCAGCAGGTGTGTAGCAAGGCCTGCCTCCAGAGTCCCCCAGTCCCCTCAGCCCTCCAGCTGCCCAGGGCCACCTGAGGCTCAGGTAACCAGGGCCAGCCAAGGCTTGCGCTGCTGGCAGTGGCAGAGGCAGAGGTGTGATGGGGGTGTCTCCTTCCCCTGATCTCCGGGTCACTTCCCGCCCCTGAGGGCTCCCGGACCATGAGAGGGGACAGGCCGGGCTGAGGGAGCCCCCCTCCAGTGCATGAATTTTCATGTACCGGGCCTCTAGTTACAAACTGAGCCAGGATAAAAAAAAACTTTTCTGTCTCTACATATACATACATTCTCTTGCATATGTATGCATACGTGTGTGCCTATGCGCGCGCTCTCTCTCCCCTCTCTCTCTCTCTTACACACACACACACACACACACACACACACACACACACACACCTGACAAAGAAAAGCCTTGTATCGAGAGTAAGGTTCTGGAGGACTGCTGATTTTTTATCTTTTGGAATGTGGATTCCAAACTACTAGTGAAAAACCATCAAGAAGGTTAAGCTTTGCCCTGGCTGGTATGGCTCAGTTGGTTGGGCATGGTCCCATGCACCTGAAGGTGATGGGTTCAATTCCAGGTCAGGGCATATGCCCAGGTTGTGGACTCAATCCCCAGTAGAGGGCATGCAGAAGGGTGAACTTTTGGGAATTTGGCTGTGGGAGACATTTTGCATTTAAAAGCTTTCCAAGTTAAGGACCCAGCTGGGTGGTTCAGTTGATTGGAGCATTGTCCCATATACCAAAAAAGTTGCACATACCTAGGTTGCAGGTTCGATCCCTGGTTGGGGCACATACAGGAGGCAACCAATCAATGTTTCTCTCTCACACCAATGTTTCTCTCTCTCTCCAAAACCAATAAAAAAACATATCCTAGGGTGGGGATTAAAAACCTTCTAAGCTGCCCGGCTGGTGCGACTCAGTGGCAGAGCATCAACCTATGAACCAGGAGGTCACGGTTCGATTTCTGGTCAGGGCACATGCCAGAATTGCAGGCTCAATCCCCAGTAGGGGGCATATAGGAGGCAAACAATCAATGATTCTCTTTCATCATTGATGTTTCCATCTTTCCCTCTCCCTTCCTCACTGAAATCAAAAGAAATATATTTTAAAAGAGAAATACCTTCCAAGTTATTCAATGACCACTACACAATATTCCACATGGAAATGACTCAAAGAAATATATACCTTCTATGATTTAAATAAAAATGAAGCGACGGCCCTGACCAGTTTGGCTCAGTGGATAGAGCGTCAGCCTGTGGACTGAGGGGTCCCAGGTTCGATTCCGGTCAGGGGCATGTACCTTGGTTGCGGGCACGTCCCCAGTAGGGGGTGTGCAGGAGGCGGCTGATCGATGTTTCTCTCTCATCGGTGTTTCTAACTCTCTATCCCTCTCCCTTCCTCTCTGTAAAATCAATAAAATATATTAAAAAAAAAAATGAAGTGACGAGGCAGTAAAAAAAGAATGTATTCAACAGGTTTTTAGCTGGCTGATCAGGATTTGGCTCAATCTTGTCAAAGAGCCTTTTATACTTGAACTGGAATGTCTAAAGACATTTTTCACACACAGCCTTTTGTCTAACACATATATGGGGGTGGAGATCTAGTGGTAACATTCCAGAAGACTTAATCTCATAGACATGTTTGGACAACCAGCTTGATCATATATATGGATGATAGCTTCCAATTTCAAATGTGATCAGCTATTGAATGTGGTGACATTATGTTAGGATATTTTAATATATTCAGTCTAAAAAAGAATCATCATCAGTTTGGGGGCAGTTTTAAGCTAACAGAAATAACATGATTCAGACAGTGAGATCTTGAATTATTCTGAACAGTATTGGTTCTTACAAGCAGCAGAAAAAATATCAAAAACTACATACCATGATTGATTGAAAAAATTAATGAGAGAAATAAGGTTTACTTTTTACATTGCTGAAGTTAGCAATTTATATATATTTTAGATTACTGATTCACAAATAATTTAAAACAAAGAGAGTTGAATTTAAAACAAAGCTCTTTAGCCTTTTGAAAGTTTGTTTTTTTTTTAACTAATTGTATAAGCACATGTATGTTGACAACCTGGATGTTCTCATTTCTAAATATACAGGGCATTTAATAATTTATAATGTACTTCAACATGTTGTTATATTTAATTCAAAACTATACAGCAAGATGATCTATACTAATGTGGCAAAATGTAGGAGCAGTCAGTGAGAAATACAGATAGGTTACCCAACTCCAGTGAGCCACATGAAAACAGGATTCATAAAAATAAACCTGTTTCTGTATAAGGAAAAAGGTTTTTTGGAGTAAGAATAGAAATAAGAAATGAAAAATAAAATTTAATCCCATCTAAATTTTATGTACTAAAATTTTTAAAAATCAAACTATGCTGATAATTTTAAAATACATACCTTCTTTCCATTAACATTTCATAAAAGTCTCTGATATCTTGACCAGATTTTTCCATACAGTGATAAAATGCCAGCTGACTTTCCCGATTTGCAAAATCCACCTTAAAGAAAAAAGAATAGCAGGTATATCTGCAAGTTTCAGATTTAAAAAATGAAAAGTTACCAAATTTTTTAATTCTTCCCAAAATAGTCCTCGACTATTTCAAGAAAGAGCAATCTTTCTAAATGAAGTGAAATAACCCTCATAACAAACTGTATTTTGTTACTCTGAAATCTCTCTCAAATTCTACTAAAAAATTATAGGATTTGCCTTAGCTGGTTTGGCTCAGAGGATAGAGCGTCAGCCTGTGGACTGAAGGGTGCCAGGTTCGATTCCAGTCAAGGGCACATGCCGGGGGTTGCTAGCTCGATCCCAGTGCAGAAGGCAGCCGATCAATAATTCTCTTTCATCGTTGATGTTTCTCTCTCTCCCTCTCTCTCTCTCCCCTCTCCCTTCCTCTCTGATATCAATAAAAATATATTTTTTAAAAAAAGAATTATAAATAAATTACTTGTTATATGGATTTGAGGGGGTAGTTAGACCCTATAAGGTTCTAGAAGGAATGGGATAAGCAAAATGGAAAACTGAAATGATACCTAGCAGGATTCTAGGTTGTCAATTAAATAATCAGAACAACTAAATCCAGCAATCAGAGCTGGGCCTCAGAGTCACTAAAAAGCATATAATATCCATCATCAATACCTTTTTTTTTAAATTGATATATTATTTGGAAAAGACTTATTTCAATCTAACCCATCATCAATGATTCTCTCTCATCACTGATGTTTCTATCTCTTCCTCTCCCTTCCTCTCTCTGAAATCAATAAAAAGAAGACATTTAAACCAAAAAAAGGGCAAGATCTGAATATGACTTTGTTTTGCTTCTGTTTACCTTTACTCTACATACCTTAATTTTATTCCCACCAATTTTCCTCCCCTTGGTCTCTTTTACAGCTGCCTGTGCATATTCAATTTCATTGTAGATAATCAGGGCCATGCCTTTCAAGCGGTCAAACACCACCTGTAACAAAAAACACAACAAAAAAGTAAGAGCCTCATCCACTAGGCACAGTATCAGTCCCAAACAAACTCCTAAGTCACAAGGACACTGTCAAGATAAAATATACTTACATACATTTTATTTATTTACTTATTTTATTTTTGTTAATCCTCACTCAATGATATTTTTCCAGATTTTTAGAGAGAGTGGAGTGGGAGAGACAGAAAGAGACACATCGATTGGCTGCCTCATGCATGGGGATCAAGCCTGCAACTAAGATACATGTCCTTGACCGGAATTGAACCCGGGACCCTTCAGTCAACAGGCTGAAGCTCTACCCACTGAGCCAAACTGGCTAGGGCTACTTATATACATTTTATTCTAGAAAAAATTTCAGGCTTTTCCTGATTATGCATATTGTAGTGAAAACAATAAAATGTGTAAGGACTGTTTAGAATCATGGCTACTGTGGCTTGAGGTATATTATGCCTTATTTTGTTTTTCTGTATTTTACTTTATTTTTCACATTGACTGAATACTACCCACTTTAACATCATTGATAGGTTCTGTGACTTTAAGCAAAATGACATATAATAAAACCAATTTTACCACAGGCTAACTGCTATAAACAAGAGTTAAGTTCCAACAGCATCTCATCAACACTATAATGAAATGACATGGAACAAAACGATGTTATTTGAGAACCTGCTACATTTAAGTAAGCATTCTAGTTTTAGCTAAAAAAAGCAATACTCTTGGCAGAGAGAAAAAAATGTGAAGAGTATTGGATCAACAAAAAATGTTAGTGACTCTTAGTTGTAAGTGGCACTACCATCTTAAAGCTATTGGATTTTTATTTACACTAGCAGTCTTTAACGTGTATTTCTCCAATCAACAAAAGCTACATTTAAAGAAATGTCAAAATTATGCAACATGTCCACCACAGTATAAATCTGCTTTTTTAAAAGCTTTACCTTTACATAATGGAATGGGGCCAGAGATCATTTTCCTGTTTTATTTGTGGATCTGTTACATAAACATTGATTAGATGAATATTCTGTTGTGTAACTGTCTTGATAAAGTCATCATTAGCCCTAGCCCGTTTGGCTCAGTGGATGGAGCTACGGCCTGCGGACTGAAGGGTCCCAGGTTCGATTCCGGCAAGGGCACATGCCCAGGCTGTGGGCTCGATCCCTAGTGGGGGGCGTGCAGGAGGCAGCTGGTCAATGATTCCCTCTTATCACTGATGTTTCTATCTCTCCCTCTTCCTTCCTCTCTGAAATCAATGAAGAAATATATATTTTTTAAAAAAGTCATCATCATTAAAAAAAATCAAGTCTAATTACATATTAGTGTGAACATGAACAATCCTATATAATAAAAGGCTAATATGCAAATTGTCCCCTCGGGAGTTTGACTGACCGAGAGTTCAACCACTCGCTATGACATGCGCTGACCACCAGGGGGTAGCACAGAACAAAGGAAGGCCCCGGCCAGAAGCCAGGGGAAGGAAGGCCCCATTTGGCCCTCATCGCTGGCCAGGCCTAGGAACACTACCCGTTCATGAATTTCATGCACCAAGCCTCTAGTTATGTAATAGACTGTCTAATTTTGCCCAGCTGGTGTGGCTCAATGGTTGACCATTGACCTATGAACCAGGAAGTCACGGTTCAATTCCAGGTTGTGGGCTCAATCCCCAGTGTGGATCATGCAGAAGGCGGTCGATCAATGATTCTCTCTCTTCACTGATGTTTCTCTCTCCATTACTCTCTGAAATCAGTAAAAATATACATTAAAAAAAAAAAATGCCCTAGCCTGTTTAGCTCAGTAGATAGAGCATTAGCCTGTAGACTGAAGGGTCCTGGGTTTGATTCTTTTTTTTTTTTTCTTTCTGGGTTTGATTCTTGATTAGGGCACATGCCCAGGTTGTGGGCTTGATTCCTAGTGGGGGGCGTGCAGGAGGCAGCCAATCAATGATTCTCATCATTGATGTTTCTAGCTCTCTCTCCCTTCCCTTCCTCTCTGAAATCAATAAAAATATATTTTAAAAAAAGACTGTCTAATTTTACTGTGAGATAAAATTATAAAAATCTCTAATAAACATTCTATTTAACAGTAGTGTGTACATTAATTGCAAAATTAATTAGCTCAGCTGGTTCAAAATAGTTTTCAAAATATTCATATCATAAGCTAATATAGATGAGCTGCCCTTCTAGGCCAATTTTTAGAAAAGAGGATTTTATTGTATGAGTTATTAAAGAAAAGAAAAAGTTGGCACTAGAAATTGAGACTGAAAGGACAGAATATCCAGAAAAGAGAGTCAGAAGTAGCTTTAAACTACATACCAAAACCTCCCACCTACCTTTATCACAGGCCCATATCGGCAGAAATGTCGTGTTAAATATTGATCCGACACATTTGCAGAAAGCCCATCTAACCACACGCAGTTTGTAGGCATGCTCTTTCCAAAACCCAGCTGAATATAAAAGGCGAAATTTCTGTCAGTAAAGTCACCAATTATTCAACTACAGAATTCTGAGAAAACCTGTCTTCTGTAGGAATCTCGTCAAACCAACATCTCAAGTGGAAAACCATTGGGTTATATCAAGTAAAAACTTTTTTAAAAAAAGTAATACTGCCTAAATAAGCAAGTCTTTACTTTAGATTATAGTATAACAGAATGAGAATGCAGAAATGTACCACCTTTAGGTTATCTAACTGTATTACTGAAAACTTAAATAATGAGACATATGCAAACAAAACAAAACCAAACCCTCCAAATCTTAAAAATCATAATAGTACAATAATTTATGCAAATTTCTTTACCTTAAGGCGGTTATTTCCAAGGTATTCCCCATCCATCTTCTTAATAGCCTTACAAACGCTGGCAATATCACAGTATTGCAAAAATGCATACTGAGGAACTCCATTAACTTTTTTAATATCAATATCCTGAAAAGGCCAATGGATACCACTTAATGATACAAAAAAGTAATCAGAAATTTATTTTCAACAAGAAAATAAATAAAAATAAACCTCATAAAGTCCATATGAGGTATATATTTCTCAAAATAGTCATAGTCCCAAAAATAATTTTCTTAGATAAAATTGTACATCTTCATGAAACTGTAAATTAGTGTAAAAACCTATATAACAGCATTTGTAATCACAAACCATGAAACCGTTCTCATGAAACTCTCTGCAGAAGAGCAACTGCACTACAACTCAAAATCTGAAATTTATAATACCTATTTTAAGAAAGATGTATGATAGTAAAGAAAAGGCAGCCTATTTTATGAAAACCTAAAAAATAATTCTGCAGTATCTGAAGGACTTACTAGAAACAGACCATTTAAAATATACTATCTGGCCCTGGCTGGTTTGGCTCAGTGGATAGAGTGTCAGCCTGTGGCCTGAAGGGTCCCAGGTTCGATTCTGGTCAAGGGCACATGCCTTGGTTGTGGGCTTGATCCCCATGCAGGAGGCAGCCGATCAATGATTCTCTCTCATCACTGATGTTTTTCTCTCTCCCTTCCTCTCTAAAAATCAATAAAGATATATTTTATAAATAAATAGAAATACTATGTATGTTGGGGTTGGGTGGAGGAATTGAGCAAAAAAGGAAAAAATAAAAAGAGAGTGAACTCAAGGACATGGACAACAGGTGATGATTGTGGGATGAGGAGGCGGAGAGGTGATGGAGGTGAATGAGGGCACAGAGGGAATAAATGGTGATGGAATAAATTAAAATAAAAGCTAAAATAATATTAATAATATTTGAGAAGAGTAAAAATAACAAAGAAATCAAGTTTTCAAAAGTGATTTACAATATGCAATTCTAAAATAGAAGACTCATTCTTCTATCAGTGTATCTCACTGAACCAAGCCTGGTGATTTGATAAATATGGTAAAGATCTCTCATATCCAATATGAATTGATATATCAATACCCAAACTACTTTGTGAAAATGCATCAAAAACACTATCCCTGGGTTAAAGAAAAACTCTATGAAGGAACACCACCATCTCTTTGGAATGCTCAAATCCTGTAGCCCCACTCAGACTGATGCTGCCTGGAGGTGGTGGTGAAAAAGAACCTAGCTTACACAGGAGAATGGTCCAGAGAAACCAGACACTTGGAGGGCAAAACATTGACTTAAACAATAATCACCTGGACCATATATTGCAGAGTAAGTATTATGATTATCTAAGCCTCCTTAAGGATCACAAGTCAATAATCAAAACCTGAAATGGCAAAATGAATGTAATTAAAAGCTGTATGATGGGTCCTTTAAAAAAACCAATAATTTATACTCAAAATTGTTGTAAGTAATGGTAAGCAATCACTTTGATTTTCACTATTAAGTAGAATGCAATAACCCAGGATAACTCTACTGAAGAGAAACAATCTCCAAAGAATATGGTGGGTAGACTCACTAACTACCAGGTTCTTTCTGGCTATAGCATAATCTGTTATCAGACTATTTCCCCAAAGTTTGTGTTTCATTAAAATAGTGATAACCATGAGCAACTGCAAACATGATGAGACTATGGTTTCCAAAAAGAATACTGATATGTCCACCTTAGTGAGAAGCATAGCTCTCAAACACAAGTATTCTAATTTTAGCAACCTTGGTGATAAACATGTGCCCATGTGTCCAAATAAAACTTTTTATACCCCTCCAAAATTTAAAGTAGCAGTTACATTTGAATAAAAGTATATCTGAAAGCTTTATCAATTCATAGACTCATGAATGCCAAGGCAGAAAAAGCTGAAGTTCAGATAGTAATGTGAACTCCAAGTCACTCATCTAGGTAGGCAATATAACTAGAATTAGAGTACACCGCTACACACATAAAAAAATAAAAGAACTTTAAAAAATCAAAATAACTTAAAAAGAGAATAAGACGAATATTTTCCTGGTATATTTCTCTAAATATATTATCTCTGCTTTTTCTTTACTTTCTACCAACCACTTCATTCTCTTGCCCCACCCCCAGTAAAATGAGGTTTTACATCAGCCATAGACACAAATAATGTTTTAGTCACAGGACTAGATTATGTCATTTAAAAAGGGCCCCCCTCCCCCCCGGCCAATTTGCTCAGTGGTTAGAACATTGGCCTGTGAACAGAAGAATCGTGGGTTTCATTCCCAGTCAAGTGTATGTACCTCAGTTGCCCCTTCAGGAGGCAGCCAATTGATAGATCTCTCACATTGATGTTTCTCTCCCTCCCTCCCTCTCCTACCTCCCTTACACTCTCTCTAGGAATCAATGGAAAAAATATCTTTGGGTGAAGAAAATGAATGAATGAATGAATGAATGAATGAATGAATGAATGGATCTTTTGTTTAGCGCATTAGTGTATAATAGTGATTTTCAATTGGTGTGTTAACAAGAAGTACAACTCGTGTGCTGCAAGAATTTTTTTATATGTTTTTATTGATTTGAGAGAGAGCGGAAGAGAGGGAGAGAAAGAGAAACATCGATTCTGCCTCCAGCATGCCCCTACTAGGTCTCAATCCCATGACCCAAACATATGCCCTTACCAGGAATTGAAATGACCTTCTGGTACATTGGGAGGACGCTTAACCAAGTGAGCCACACTGGCCAGGGCTGCCATAAGGATTTTTAAAACATGCAATACCTGCCTATTTAGTGAGGGGCACTGACCTCTTTTCCTTTAGATTGTCAAAAAAAAAAAAAAAATGACAACAGCTAATTCAATAGTCGTCTAATGTGAATGAATCAAAATTACACCTACTTTTTTGTGTGCCGCAGAATTTTAATAATGAGTTTATGGGTTCCATGAGATGAAAAAGGTTAAAAATTGCTGGTATACAAGATAGATGGATAGACAAACAAAAGGACACACACACATCTGAAAGATTAGTAAGAGCTATTCCTACCTGTAACATTTTTAAATATAGTACAAATATACTAGGGCAACTTTTTTGTTATTAATATATATAAAGAAAATCTAAAAAATCAAGAAGTAACTTCCCTATTTTTTCTATCACAAAACAGTACATCCCCATATAAGGGGTCAATGGGGAAAAAAGGGGACATATGTAATACTTTCAACAATAAAAGATTTAAAAAAATTTTTTTAATGAAATTAAAACAAAAAACAGTATATCCTAAGAGCTGTAACCAAACTATGTTTTGAGTAGTCAAAAATTTTTAATAGGTTTTTATTGATTTCAGAGAGAGGAAGGCAGAGGGAAAGAGAAATAGAAACATTAACGTTGACAGAGAATCGTTGATCAGCTGCCTCCTGCACGCCCCACACTGAGGATTAAGCCTGAAACCCAGGAATGTGCCCTGACAGGAAGTCAAACCAAATCAAACCATGACTTCCTGGTTCATGGGTCAATGTTCAACCAATGAGCCACTCCAGCCAGGCCAAACTATTTTCACTATAAACTGACTCAAGTTTTGAGCCATAGGGAACAGAAAAACCCTTCTACTCCTAAACCTAACTATGACTTGCCTAATATAAAAAGTGATTCTAATTAAAATTTCAAAATAGAACTGAGCTTCCAGCATGATATCCATGTTCTAGTAATCCCCACGGTGCTTTCTGATGAGCACCGTGGTAACAACAGTCACACACGAGTCTGCTGCTTCTTTCTCACAAATATATGTTCTCTTCCAGATTTCTCTTTCAATCCACAGGACTAGAGATGTAACTGAAACAGCACCCAATAGGAAAAGGAAAATAGAAAAACTGGATAGGAAAATACATATGTAAACAAAATAAAGACAAATATACATTATGCATTTTTACATATACACATAAATACTCTCCAAAGGGTTTTGCTAGATCATGTTTTAGCGAGAGTTAAAAACACATAGGACAAATTAAAAAAACATTCATTACACCATCTAAATATCATCTTTCCAAATATAATCTGTAACTTTGCTTTGTCTTATGAAAAAGACCTAAAACTGTTTTTATTGTAAAAAGTAACATACCACAATTTCACCAAAGCGCTGGAAGATGTTTCGAAGATCATGGTAAGTAGTGGTTTTTTCAAGGTTGCCAATAAAGAGGGTTCTTGTTGCTTTGGGATGAAATTCATCTATCCTTTCATCCAAAGGGCGAAATTCATTTTCACTTTCTGTTTCTATAAGTGGGATGGGGGCAGAGTAAAAAGAGAAGAGAGTGTTTTGATGTGTATTTATATTTATATATCATAGGGGAAAAACTACATTTAAGAAAGTAAATCTCTGAAACATTGGGCTTGAGTACTCATACAATCTGAAAAATTATACACACCTTCAGAAATAGCAAAAGAAGAATACAAAGGCTAACAAACTTGTCCCAAAAGTAGGGGGAAGTAACACTTTGATTTTTAAAATAGGAAAGTGGACAGAATTTCAATATGCAAGTTGATTTGTTGAAAAAATAATCACTTAGCACAGAAATATATTTTAAACCCCAGAAAAATGGTAATTATTTTAGCCTAATCTTTAGTTCCAAAATTATGTTGCAGGCTCTCAACGTGGAGTATAAACTATACATAAAACTCAACTGAAATCAGTCCAGCTTCATTACTTAATTTACTTTCAACATTTTATGAAATACTTAAGATTTTACATTTGTCCTACTAATCATAATCAACACAACCCAAATTCCTGTCTCAATGCAGCAAATTTTAGATACAAAAATAATAATTGCATGATAACGGACTGAAACAACACTTATGAAATATCTTCTTTTGGTGTTGTACAGACCTCAATGACAACTAGAAAAAGACTAAATGACTCTTCAAGTTTCTATTTCTTATGATCAAAAGCCCTTGTTTAATGTCCAATTCCAAGAGGTCCTTGACCTAAAGAAGAAATCAGCTCCATACATTTCAATACAAAACATTTACGACAAATCATCCAACAGCAGAATTCCAACCAAGTCTCTATACTCAAATTTGATTGCTTTCCACATCCCATTAAACAGGTGTTTCATGTTGTCCTATCTTGAAAAGGTAGCTTCAGCTTTCCTATGCTTGAAATTAACCAAACTTCTCAAAATCTTCACGGGTAGGTGATTAAAACCCAATTACATCCTGGGTTTTAGGTAAATGTTTTAGATAAAATGATATTTTACTGTATAAATCTCGAGCTAGCCTCACCACTTGGAGTTAGTCAGCTCTCAATAATGACCCTAAATTAGATCCTCACTACTTACATAAGATCCTCACTAATTATATATGTCAGTTCCTTAAGAATAGATGACATTCTAAATATAATTCCAAATGTGTTAAATAAGAACTGCTCTTAACCCAGTATAACTTAGGGCAGTATCTCAAAACTAGCAGAGAAGTGGGAACATGAAGACATAACCTAGAATTCCTTTGAAAAGATAATATTCCTCTGAATTAGTGTTTTATCACAAAATTATGCACATTTTACATTATTCACTCTAACACCTCTGTGCCTGTTTTAATACACAAATAACATTCTTTTCAGGAATATTATTTTTCCTCTTAATTAAATAAAATAAATAAGAAAATGAGCGATGTTTACCTTAAAATTCAAAACTCAAAGTTTAGTCTTAAAGTTCATCTCAGCTACATAATGGTACTGTATAATTTTAACATTTCTATTCATTCCTTTACAAATTTACTCACAAGATGCCTTAAATTAGGGGTTCCCAAACATGCATATGTGAATTCTGAACCAGCAAGCTGGGGTAGGGTCCAAGAGTCTGCATTTTAAACAAGCTCTGCAGGTGATTCTAAACTGGAGGAAACATGGCCCAATCCCTGCCTGAGAAGACTTCCTGCCCTATAATAGGCCTTTCAGGTAAGTTCAAGTTAATAAAATGTCCCCTTGAAATTCTCAATGGGTCACACTAAGTTAGCCCTGCTTTTCCGTCACTATCTTTAAGGTCATAGAAGACAGAATAACAGATCCAATTGTGCTGGGCATAATGGAAATAAAACTGGTCTAACTAGCCCCTCAAATCCATATAACAAGTAATTTATTTTGAAATTTAATCCAGGATAATTCTGTTGTTATTCTCCTAGAAACTATTTCCTTATCTCAATCAAGTTAATCCTTTTGGGAAAGCAGGACGCAATAAGGGGCTAACTCTGCCTTTCTGTCACTCTTATTAAAAGTCAGCATTTCTGCCCTGGCTGGATAGCTCAGTTGGTAAGACCGTTGTCCTGACATGCCAAGGTTGTGGGTTCAATCCCTGGTCAGAGCACATACAAGAAGCAACCAATAATTCAATTTTTTTTTTTTAAGTCAGCATTTCTCCCTTATAGAAACACAACAATTTTTACCCTCCCTAACTAAAACAACATAGTTTATTAAGCTGAATAAATAAAGCTGGAATAGTGTCCACATTTAGAATATTCTGCTGCTGTTTCATAGGCTGGAATACAAATTACACAAATTCCTTTTCTCTTACCTGGCCCTATCCATGCTGTTACTTCAATCTGCATGCCAAAGAAAAGTTTTCCTTTTGATGCAGTCAATGCTTTTTCTTGGTCCTCTTGCTGTCGAAAGAATACCAGGCCATACCTCTCTTCTGAAGCTCCATGTATTTGCACTGAAGTCACCTTTCCAAATTTCTTAAATTCATGGAAAAGGCCATCTTTAAGGCTTGTATCTAAATCGCCAAATAAAAACAAGTTGCTTATTTTTCTAATTTAGTTACAACTCAATAAGTAAGCTAATTATTAGCCTGATTTTTAACCTAAGTTTTGTTAGCCTTAAAACATTACGTTTTCAAACACAATAACTCTAAAAGGCATTTTGGAGATTACTGTACAATTCTGAAATAAACTGAGTATTAGAAGATTTATTGATTTTTTTTAAAAAATCTGGAGTATAGCGTAAGGGGAGTTTATTTTGCTACTCCTACTTTTGGTTATGTTTAAAACTTTTGCCCAGCTGGTGTGGCTCAGTGATTGAGCATCAACCTATGATCCAGGAGGTCACCGTTCAATTCCTAGTCAGGGCACATGCCTGGGTTGCAGGCTCGATCCCCAGTGGGGTGCATACAGGAGGTAGCCAAGCAATGATTCTTTTTCATTGATCTTTCTATTTCTTTCTCCCTCTCCCTTCCTCATTAATCTATTTCTCCCTCCCTCTCTGAAATCAATAAAAGATATTTTTTAAAACTTTCATAATAAAAACTTTACATACATGAAAACAACATATGTAAAACCTTTAAAGACTTCAAAAAGAAAACCATACTTCTAGCTTCCCAAGCATCATGTCAATGATAAAAATGTGTGGGAAGTGGCATGTAACATCCTAAACAACTTTCAGGCATTTTACAGATGAATCATGCCATCTGGGGGTCCTGTGTTAATTTGCTTCATCTTAAGAATCAAGATTATATAAAAAGACAAGCCAATTTTACCCTCATCTACTCCTAAATTACCAAGTAATCTAAATCAAAAGCTCATCAACATTTGTGTCTCAATATCTCTATTCACAAACCTGGTATGCAGATTTTATAGGCTGTTTTATTTTATTTTTTAGAGGAAGGGAGGAGGATAGAGAGATAGAAACATTAATGATGAGAGAGAATCATTGATTGGCTGCCTCCTACATGCCCACACTAGGGATCAAGCTAGCAACCCAGGCATATGCCCTGACCAGGAATCGAACTGTGACGACCTGGTTCATAATTCAACACGCAACCACTAAGCCATGCCAGTGGGGCTACAGGCTGATTTTTTTGTGTGTGTTTTTTTTTTAAGGCTAGTCAAGTGAAGCAGTGGGAGTGGAGAAGGAACAAAGAAATCTGTAACTGGCTGTGATCAATTAGTTGTAAGACACCACTGCACTCGGACCAGCTGTGTTTTAATAAATAATTTAAGTAATCACTGAAATGCACTTAGCCAAGAAATATTTAGTTTGATCTTTTTCGTTTTGACCATACATATGTTGTTTTCATAGGTAATATGCCTAATATAGGAATAACAGTATATTGTGGTCAATTGTCATTTTAAAATATCAGGAGTAAAGGAAAGACTACAGTATAGCTTTTCATTAGACTTTTCCATTACTCATGGTTTTCCTCATTTAAACTCTTAATATTTTTTTAAAATATATTTCTGTTGATTTCAGAGAGGAAGGGAGAGGGAGAGAGGTAGAAACATTAATGATAATGAGAGAGAATCATTTATTGGCTGCCTCCTGCATGCCTCCTACCAGGGATCGAGCCACCAACCCAGGCATATGTCTTGACCGAGAATCGAACTGTAACTTCCTGGTTCATAGGTCGACGCTCAATCACTGAGCCATGCCAGCCAGGCAAACTCTTAATTTTTTTGAAATGAGTTTCCTATCATAATTTTATGTCCAAAATTATTTCACATAACATAGGACTCCAGAGCAATATAATAAATCTAACTAAAAACAGTATTTCTACATTTTCATCATAACAAATTTCCCCTCTCATTAAAATATTTAATCCAGCCTAGTGTCTAGGCTGGATTAAATATGTAACAACCTAGTCACTACATAAAATTATAATAATAACCACTTGCTTTTTCTTACATGGCATTACATGTTAGATGAACCACAAGAACAAAGCTGATTGCGCATGGAAGGGGAAGAGTTAGAAGGATGGAGCAAAGTAAAAAAAAAAAAGAGAGAGGGAACTCATGGTCATGGACAACAATGTGATGATTGGGAGGGGGAAGTGGAGGAGGAGGGCATAGCGGAAATAAATGGTGATGAAAAACAAAATGTTTTTAAAAAGCTTGTTGTACCCGGCCGGTGTTGCTCAGTGGTTGCGCATTGATCCATGAACCAGGAGGTCATGTTTGATTCTTGGTCAGGGCACATGCTGGGGTTTCTCGCTCAGTCCCCGGTAGGAGGCATGCAGGAGGCAGCCAATCGAAGATACTCTCTCATCATTTATGTTTCTCTCTCTCTCTCTCTCTCTCTCTCCCCCTTCCTCTTTCTGAAATCAATTTTTTAAAAAACCACCATAAAAAAAAAAAACTTGTCACAACGAAGTATAGAATTCAAGTTGCTTAGTCTCTCATTCCCCAACAGCAACAGAAAGAAAAGTATAGTTTTTACCTGTAGAGCGTACTGGAAGATTCTGAACTTTGATCCCAAAACTTTTACGGGGCTCATCTTTTTCCAGGGATGAAAGCAACTGGGAAGTGGGTGCGGGGACTGCTGCGGATTGAACTGACCGGGCTGGAGAGTCATCGCTTGAACTACTGCTAGAATCAGTGCTGCAGAAGGGCAAAAAAACTTCAGTGAAAAGAGAAACAAAATACTGGAGCATATAAAACTTCTTAGAATCAACAAGTGGCAACAATTAAAAGGTCTAAACTTTAGGCCTGAGACTTTAGGATGCCCTACCTTCACATCCATTTCATACTGTACCTTCAGAGATAACAGAAGACAGCAGTGGCCTGACAGTGTGGAGGCAAAATAAACAATCTTTTACATTACCACATGCCACCTAAAGGCAAATGTTTCATTCTTGAATGCAAAATTTGAATAATTTTTCCAAGTAAATAAGACTAATGAACACAATTCACTTAAGGGTCATAATAATAATAGAACAGTGGATATATGGGTTATTGATTCAGAGACATCAATTCAAATCTTAGCTTAGACATACAGTAGGTACTCTTGGACAAGTCACTTAAGCTCTTACTAAAGCCTCAGTTTACACATCTCTAAAACAGAAATAATAATAATAGTATCTATCTCATAGAGTTAGGAATTAAATAAAATAACCCACATACTTGTATGCATGCATATAAGCATAACCAATGGACACAAGACACTGAGGGGTAGGGGAGGCCGGGGGAAGGTCAAGGGGAAAAAAAAAGGAGACATATGTAATACTCTTTGTAATACTTTAAGCAATAAAACAAAACTTAAAAAATAATAAAATTAAAAAAAAAATAACCCACAGGTTGCCCTGGCTGACATGGGTCACTGGTTATAGCATCAGCCCACACACAAAGGGTCTTGGGTTCGATTCCCAGACAAGGGCACATAGCTGGATTGCAGGTTCCATCCTCAGCCCCAGTTGAGGTGCATACTGGAGACAACCAATCGATGTGTCTCACATCAATGTTTCTGTCTTTTCTCTCTCCCTCTCTCTCTCTCTCTCTCTCTCTCTCTCTCTCTCTCTCTCTCCCCCTCTCCCTCTCCCTCTCCCTTTCTCCCTTCTTCCCTCCTTCCCACTCTTTCTAAAAAAAAAAAAAAATCAGAGAAACCAAGATGGCGGCATAGGTAAACACCAGAGATTGCTGCTTCGCACAACCACTTCAAAAATACAACTAAAAGATGGAACGGACATCATCCAGAACCACAGGAAGGCTGGCTGAGTGGAAATACTACAACTAGAAGGAAAGAGAAAAGAATACCGAGACTCAGAGGAGATGCAGTGCGGAAGTAAAATACAAAGGTGCAGAGGTGCACGCAGAGAGGGCTGGCGGCTAAGGACACGGTTGTCTTTTTCAATCAGGAGAGAGTCTCAAGCTCTGAGCTCCAGTTCCAGGTGAGTCTCTGGGGACCCAGATTCATACGGGAGAAACGGGACTGTCTGGCATCGGTCGGAACTCGAGGGCAGCTTTCTCTCAGAGGTGCTCGCAGCAATTGCCGGGACACTGAGAAGCGGGGCCTCTGAGGGCAGGACTGAGAGCAGCCATAACTGTTCACTCTGCCCTGTTGATCCCCTGGGACCCCGCCCCGCTCAAGCGTGCAAGGAGGCTTTTGCATATGAAAGGCCCGGCCCTTTGCAATCTGAAAATTACTTAACAAACTGCAGCTGGCCCAAGGCCCCAAGACAACTTGCATTGCTTCACACCTGGCTTCTGCTGGGTAGCCTCAGGCCTAGGCTAGATTAGCATCTCCTTAGAGATCCAGGAGCCAGTGTGCCCGGTGGTCAGAGTGGGACCATCCAGATTGCAGCTCCTCGGATCCATAAAGGACACACTCAGGGGGCAGACTCAGTGAGCACCAAAGCCCCACTGAAGCAAGTCTTGTCCCGGAGGGGTGCCTCTAGCACAGAAGTTCTCCCACTGCAGAAACAGCTGATTCTCACAGCCAATTGGCCTGGAGGTCAATCCCTCCCAGTGTTACCTACAACAATCAATGCTTAACTACAACAAGACTGTGCACAAAGCCCACAAGGGGATGCACCAAGAGTGTCTACCTCAGGTAATTGGGGAGGCTGAGCGACTGGGCCCTATAGGACACCTAGCACAGAAAGCCACTCAATCGACACAGCAAAGCATAAAAAATGCCGAGACAAAGAAACAGGACACAAATGACAGAAATGGAGGAAAGCAAACTACTGGATATAGAGTTCAAAACCACACTTTCAAGGTTTTTCAAGAATTTTCTAGAAACCGCCGATAAACTTAATGAGACCCTCAAGAAATCTAGTGAGACCCTCGAGGTTGTGATAAAGGACCAACTACAAATTAAGCATACACTGACTGAAATAAAAAATATTATACAGACTCCCAACAGCAGACCAGAGGATCGCAAGAATCAAGTCAAAGATTTGAAATATGGCCGAAACCGGTTTGGCTCAGTGGATAGAGCGTCGGCTTGCGGACTGAAAGGTTCCGGGTTCGATTCCGGTCAAGGGCATGTACCTGGGTTGCGGGCACATCCCCAGTGGGGAGTGTGCAGGAGGCAGCTGATCGATGTTTCTCTCTCATCGATGTTTCTAACTCTCTACCTCTCTCCCTTCCTCTCTGTAAAAAATCAATAAAATATATTAAAAAAAAAAAAAAAAAGATTTGAAATATGAAGAAGCAAAAAACACCCAACCGGAAACGCAAAATGAAAAAAGAATCCAAAAATACGAAGATAGTGTAAGGAGCCTCTGGGACAGCTTCAAGCATACCAACATCCGAATTATAGTGGTGCCAGAAGAAGAGAGAGAACAAGATATTGAAAACCTATTTGAAGAAATAATGACAGAAAACTTCCCCTACCTGGTGAAAGAAATAGACTTATAAGTCCAGGAAGCGCAGAGAACCCCAAACAAAAGAAACCCAAAGAGGAACACACCAAGACACATCATAATTAAAATGCCAAGAGCAAAAGACAAAGAGAGAATCTTAAAAGCAGCAAGAGAAAGACAGTCAATTACCTACAAGGGAGTACCCATACGTCTGTCAGCTGATTTCTCAACAGAAACTTTGCAGGTCAGAAGGGAGTGGCAAGAAATAGTCAAAGTGATGAATACCAAGAACCTACAACCAAGATTACTTTATCCAGCAAAACTATCATTCAGAATTGAAGGTAAGATAAAGAACTTCACAGATAAGGAAAAGCTAAAGGAGTTCATCACCACTAAACCAGTATTATATGAAATGCTGAAAGGTATCTTTTAAGAAGAGGAGGAAGAAGAAAAAGGTAAAGATACAAATTATGAACAACAAATTCATATCTATCAACAAGTGAATCTAAAAGTCAAGTGAATAAATAATCTGATGAACAGAATAAACTGGTGATTATAATAGAATCAGGGGCATAGAAATGGAGTGGACTGACTATTCTTGGGTGGGGGAAAGGGGTGTGGGGGATGCGGGAAGAGACTGGACAAAAATCGTGCATCTATGGATGAGGACAGTGGGGGGGGGGATGAGGGTGGGAGGGGAACTGGGTGGAGGGGAGCTATGGGGAGAAAAAAGAGGAACAACTGTAATAATCTGAACAATAAAGATTTAATTTAAAAAAAAATCAGTGGGAAAAATATCCTCGGGTGAGGAATAAGAAAAATAAAATAAAAGTAATAACTCATAGGCTTAGAGAGTTTGGAATATGACAGCATTCAATAAATGAAGTAGCCCTGCTCTGTTACTATTATTACTACCACTACACACATAAATTAATTTTTAGGAAAATATAAATATCAAAAATAATTTCCCAGGTAATATTAACTTTAAAAAATTTTGAAGGTGTAATAAATATTGTGTAAATTACTTGAGTCTTGCTAGTTTAGGATCTTTGTGAATAATATGGAAAATCAAAGTCAATGAAATTGATTACTCTCTTCAATTTAATACAATCCTCAAATGGGGAGACAACTGAAAGACAAAGAAAAAATATTACCAACATGGTCAGATCGAGAGAGGGATAGTTAAGCAAGCTTATTATCCCTAAAAACTAAGTGAGAAATATAAAATTCTCTTTAGGTCCTAGCTAGTTTGCCTCAGTGGATAGAGTGTCAGCCTGTGGACTGAAGGGTCCTAGGTTCGATTCTGGTCAAGGGCACATGCCGAGGTTGCACGCTCAATCCCCAGTGGGCAGGAGGCAGCCGATCAATGACTTTCATCATTAATGTTTCTCTCTCTCTCCCTCTCCCTTGCTCTCTGAAATCAATAAAAATACATTTAAAATAATAAAATTCTCTTCAGTACTGGATGTGCACGACTATGGTGGTTTTAAGTTCTTTCATAGCCTTCTCAAATAGATTAATAAAAAGCTATTTACAGGTTTCTAAAATTTTGCTTCAAACTCACACCTTCCTGTTGTGGAAGCCTTATCTCTATATAACTCTGGAAGGTTAATCCATTACTTAAAAATATGTTTTTATTGATTTTAGAGAGAGGGAGGGAGAGGGATATAGAGACAGAAACATTGATGAGAGAGAGACATGGATCAACTGCCTCCTGTACATATCAGGGATCAAGCCAGCAACCCGGATATGTGTCCTGACCAGAAGGTAACAGGGTTCATAGATTGACGCTCAAACACTGAGTCATACCAGCCAGGTGCTTAAACATACCTGGTAGAGGAAAGACTTGATAGTTTTATCATTTGCACTAAGACTACAGCTCTCATACCCAAGACCATCTTTAAGCCAGTCTGATTAATAAATGCAACCCTAGGATCTGAGACAAATTTGCTACTGCTTTTTTAAGAGAATAAAGAAAACAAGGTGTTATAACTTAGCACTCACACAGCATTTTTATTTAGCTTTCACCTACTAAGACAAAAAAATAAAAACGTTATGAGGTTATCAGATCTTCCTGAAGTTTGAAACATAGGGAAATAAACCTATGCCAGTGAGGGCAAAAGGAGATATGCGAGCTCCAAAATACAAACTACTAGGGATAAAAGCCTCCAGATACAACAAGTCATCATTGGCAGGCCTCCTATAAATGAAAGGGCTTCAATTTTCCCTTCTATACAAAAAATATTTTCCTGGATCATTCAACAAAAGTAGTGTTACTAGTACTAAGTGAATAGA